TATGTGTGCCGATCGAGACCTACGAACCCAACCCCCCCCCCAAAAGCCCCCCCATCAATGACTATCTCCCAATTTTCCCGAATCTATGCCCCCTTTGGTCCGGATCCATTACCGGTTTCCCCAAGCGTTGACTAAAGTATCGTTCCGGACCGCTCAGTCCGGGTCCATCCGAATCCCCCATTAGTCAGTCAGTCCCCCGCGGTCTATCCAGCTGTTGCAGGTGTCTGCTTCTAATTTTCAGAATTGCAAAATTTCAAAAAACTTCAAAACTAAGTTCCCCTTCTCCCGTCGTCAGGTACCGACTCCGCCGTGCCTGGGCTTCCGAACAGCCCTACGAAAGCCAGCCGAAAATAAAGTGGGAAAACCCGAAAAACCCCGAAAATAACTTCGAAAAGTCGAGAATCGAAAACGAAAAAACCCCGAAAAAGATCAAAACCTCCCGTACCTCCTGCTACGAGTCGCCGTTCCGTGGACCAAGAACTCGGATTAGCCTCCCTCTCATACGGCCCCGTTCTCCTTCTTCCGCAGGTTGGCCCGCTTCATCTTTAACGTGTATGCCGAACAAGTGAGCGCGGAGAGCAACCTGTGCAGTGCTCGGTCCGGCACAGCCTTGGCCAAATCAGCCAAAGCACCGAGAGAGACCTCTGGGGATACCCCCCGGAGGTCTGCTTCACAAACCACGTACCCAATAGCTCCCAAAACCAGCTGCTTGTTGGTAGCTTGATCCCACAACCTCCTGATTGTCATGGATTGGACAGCTCTTTTTACGCTTTTAGCGGAAAAAGACTGGAAATCCTGAATCGTTTGGAACCTCAGCTTGCCTTCGTGGTATAGACCGTCTGTGTTCTTCGTGGTCGGAGCGAAGTGCAGTTGCAGCAGTCCTGTGCAAATCATCATCAGTCCTACAAAATTCCAGGTCAGTCTGCATTCGTCTTTCCGGATTACTTCCAGATTCTTGTCGTAGATACCCTCAAATCGGCTGAACACGTCCTCCTGGTCTTGGTCATTCTCCTCAGATTCTCTCTTCCCGCGACGATAGTAATGTCGTCCATAATTCGCCATCCCCCAACCAGTTTCCTATCACAACCCAGACCGCTAATGAACCACAGTTCGGCCATGGCGCATGTGATAGATGCTTAGGATGGGGCTAGTCGATTTCCCCGTCGGGATCCCCAGATTCCCCAGAATACGGATACGGAGAGGAAGGGGGAGAGAGAGAGAGAGAGAGAGAGAGAGAGAGAGAGAGAGAGAGAGAGAGAGAGAGAGTTGTCATATTCAGTACACAGTAGTATACAGTACAAAAATGTCAATCTTTCCCGATTCGTCAAGACAACGTGTGTGTGTGTGGTCCAGAGATTTTGCCTATCCAAAAGTAGAATCCTACAAATGAATACGGCTCCCATATGAAGTACGTCATCCAATAGTGCGCATACTCGCTCGGTGGACAGACTAAAACACTTCGTCGGTTCCAGAGTGTGTGTGTGTGTGTGTGTGTGTGTGTGTGTGTGTGTGTGTGTGTACGTACGTAGGAATATATACCTCGAAGGCCAGCAAAAGGATGCATAAGGCGTAGATGGTGGTGCAAGGTGGGGGAAGTGTTAGGAAGGAGGGAGGCCAAGGGAGGTGGCTGTGGCAGGCGAGCCGAGGATGAAAAATAAGTGAGGCCCAGAGAGATGTCTGTGGCACGCAAGCAGACAACGAGACGAGGGATGAGTAGGTGGTGCTTGATGGATGGTGGAGGTTGCAGAGCTCCAAAGGAGATTCGAATAACATGTGGAGGCATGTCGTAGGGAGGAAGAAAAACGGCTGAGGGTAGGAGAGGATACAGAGGCCGGGTGCTCGTCGGCGAAGGGAGGGAAAATGTGGGTAGGGAGGGAAGAGGTCTGGAGGAAGTATGAAGGGAATAGGTCCAGGCAAAGGATGGGAGGGAGTGAGATGATCAGCGAAGGCCAAATGGAGGGAGGGGTGCAAGGAGGAAAGGGAGGCAAAGGTCTAGCAGAGGTGATGTATATGAGGAACAAGGGAGGGAGGAAGGAGGTCATGGAGTGTTGGATGAAGATCAGGCAAAGGGAGGAAGGAGGTACGAAGGATGGAAGGAGGGAGGGAGGGAGGAGTTCGCAAAGGGAGGGAGGAGGGGAAAAGAGGTTGGGTAAACTCTGACGGAGATCAGATGAGGGAGGAGGTCGTGGAGGTCGAGCAAAGTGGGGGAGGGGGAAAGGAGGGAAGGGCTTGGAGCTCTGCAACAGGAAGAACAGAGATCGAGCAGGAGGGAAGGAGAAGGTCTAGCGAAGATCAAGTGGGATAAGGGAATAACGGGGGGGGGAAGCAGCTGGAAAGGAGATCAGGCGGAGAACAGAAGAGGGACAGAAGGGGGGAGGTGGTCACTCGGAGATCAGGTGGAGAGAGGGAGGAGGACATGGAGATCTGACAGAAATAGGAGGGAGGAATGGAGAGAGAGAGGGGAGGCCCAAGGGTGGAGGTCCAATAGAAATAAGAGGGAGGAATGGCGGGAGGGAGGAGAGGGCCAACGGAGCGAGGAAGGAGGGTGGTGGTGCCTGAGAGGCAGTCTGGCGAAAGTCAAGTGGAGGAACGAAGGGCGGAAGGTGGAGGATGAGCTCACTTAGAACTGAGATCCAGCGGAGACTGAGTGGAGGGGGTGAGGAGACATGATGAAGGTAGGGCAGAGGTGAGCTAGATGCATGGAGGTCGCAGAGATGGGAAAAAGAGGTCAGGAGGAGGTAAGAAGAACCGCAAGAAAGGCAAGAGGGGCAGAAATGGAGGAGGTGGTGCGGAAGTCCGACAGAAGTTAGGTGGAGGGAGGGGACAGGGCGTCCGAGATGCGAGGGAAGCGATTGAATGAAGGGAGGAATGTGGGAAGGAGGTTGGACAGAGGTAAAGCTGGGGAAGGGAGGGCAGAGGGATTAGGCCAAAGTCAAGTGCACACAAGTGAACACGGATGATGGGAAGCTTCAAAATAGGAGGTCGAGCAGAGCGAGGGAGGAAGGCAATCGTGGAAAGGTCAGATGGAGGGAAAGGACATCGGCCAAAGTTCCAGTGGAGGGAGGAAAAAGGCAGGAAGGAGGGGAAAAGGCGGCTGGGAGGAGGTAAGGTGGAAAGAGGGAGCAGGTTGCACATGTCGGGCCGAGGGATGCACCACCTGTTAAAAGCATTTCGATTACGGGCAAGTGAAAAAAGCAGAGAAACAAACAGAAGTCGACATCACATTGAACAGTGAAAGAAGAAAAAAAGAGAGTAAACAAACAAATATTTGACACCACATCCAGGCAGTTGCAGCATCAACCATGGACAGATGCTTGTCATATCGCGGCCGAAAAGTATTCAATGAATTAGAGTAGATAAACACAATTTCACTTCCGATTATGTCCAAGAGTATTCACTTTCATCCAGCTGTATTGCCGGGGCACTATAAGAACGTCCATCGACCAACAACTTTCCCAGGCTGATCGGTTCGCTGCCTGTTTTTGAGAAAATGGTCGGAGATCAGACGAGCTCAGACGAAGCTTCCTGACAGAGAGAATACCAGCCTTTCCACAGTTGGAAAATAGAAGACAGCAGCCACCACTGAAAACGGTTTTCTTTTAGGCCCGGCCGTGCACCTGGGCAAGTCCCCCAGAGGGAGCTTGCCCAGGGCCCAGCGTATCCAGGCGAGGAAAACGATATTTTTTCCCCCCCTCCTGCCATCGGGCATCTCCTTTGCATACAGAGAGGACCGCAAATCCGGCCTCTTACTTTGTTTTGCAGGTATGGGTGTCCAGGGGGGCGAGTAGGAGGTCTTCAGCACACACACACACACACATAATGGGGTTTTCGGTCTCTCTCCCCTGCTCTCTCCCTCAGTGTCAGATCCGCTCACAGTAGACTGAAGAAGGAAAATATGAAAAATCTGCTGTGAGACGAAGAAGAAGGGGTCATGCAACCCTCCCGAGAGGTTGACCAAGGTCATGCAATGGTCCACCTCTCTCTCTCTCTCTCTCTCTCTCTCTCTCTACAAAGGTGCAGGTCATACACGTGCTACAGCTTTCTTCAACGGCTTTCTTCCTTTTTTCCTTTTCCCTACGACTTTTCATCTTATTGTAGACGTGATTACCATCCTCTGTCCTTCTGAACACAAGTTACAGTTGGAACAATACAGAGACGATAGGCTAACCCCTGCGCAATGGTGAAATTATGAGCTGCATCCACGTGTGATTACCCCGTGTGGTCTGGTGCACTCAGGCTGGCTTCCCATGTGATACTGACTGCTGCGTGGTACCAAAAGTGGACGTCGGTGAACGGCCTTTATGCTGGCCGCACCAAGTCGACACGAGGTTGGCCAAGGTCGTACGATGGCCGACTTCTCTCTCTCTCGCTGTGGCCGCGCCAGGTCCGCTCACGATAAACTGCAGGAGAAGAAGAAAAAGATTCTGAGAGACGGTGAAGAAGAAGAGGAAAGGTGTGGTGACAGATGAGTCAAAGAGAAGAAAAGAAGAAAAAGAAAAGGAGAGGTGAAGGGGAAGACAAGGAGTTGTGCGACACGAGAGCGAAGTTTGCCAAGATCTCTCACACACACAAACACACACACACACACAGGAAGAAGAAGAAGAAGACCGTGTCAATGGCGGGCGCAACAGTGGGGAGCGTCCTAGACAGAGAGGAGGGGCGGGGGGGGGGGGGGGGGGGGGGGGGGGGGGGGGGGCGCAAGTCGAATGAGGAATCGTTCATTTGGTTTCGCGAGGGCACTCCCCCATGCAAAATCATGCGGGCAGTTCATTCAAAAAGCGCCCAAATCCGGGCCGTTTGATATCTTCGACGTCCCTGGGAACATGCATGTCCGTGCACCAGCGCAGCTTTCCAGGCAGGGAGTGACCGCCCAGGGGGCCCAGAAAAACAACCTAGAATTGCAATGAATTTAAGCTCACATGATCTGCTAAGATCCAATCTGAGTCAGCGACTCATCATTCAGTGTACCACCTTCAATCTCCGCAATGCCAAACCGTGCACGGTACCTCCGGCTTTTGTTTACCCCTGCCCACCCAATCCTTTTTTTCCCTTAAAAAAAAATGGGCCATTTCTCAATTCACGAGTGTCATCCTTGCACACCGCCCACGCTAATCTTCTTTTTGCTATGTCCCAATTTTAACGGACGGCCAGAAGGCTGCCGCCAACCCAATTGCAGTACCAGCTATAGTTCACGCTTACACATCCAACCCCAGATCTTGGCCATTACCTGCCTCTTCCAATTGTTCCTTCCCTACCCCCTTCCCAAGGTCCCAGACAAGGTTTCCCATCTTCTATTTCCCCTCTCACTCCTCCCAATTCGCAGGCTACAATTGGCAATGGCTCCGAAGAGTTCATGCATTACAAAAACAATTACATATAATAATAATAATTACCAGCTTAACTTTCCAAATGCCATAGCTGCTACTTGCAGTTCGTTGAGACAAATTGTCCAACTCCCCCTAACCGCACCGAAAAAAGAAAAAAAAACAGATAAATATATAGGAAGTGAGTTCCAGCATCTTATAATGTATGTGCAGAGGACTCGGCGTTTAATCAGCAGCACTGATTGCTGACAGTAATGGTGTGCAGGGATGACGGCACAAGAATTTGAGTCATAGAGGCGCAAACATCAAATTCCTCACCAAAATTCACAGGCGGAGAATTTCGGTCAGCTGATTGCTGCCCCTCTCTTGCATACATCATACCGATTACAGCCACCCACAGCATATGAGCATATTTCCACCTCTGATGTTTCGCTTTCCCCAGCATTCCACTCCTTCCAGTGCCCACATGGTAAATAGGAACTCAATCAAGTTTGCATTCCTTGGGCACTCGTGATTCTTCATTATATGGTGCATGCTTCCGGCAGTGACGGATGATACATCATTATATGGTGCATATCAGGAGAACACAGAAAAGGGCACATAGGTACGTACACACAAAAAAGCAGGTTATGCAAGAGTAGCAGAGAACGTGTTCAGTCCTGCGATGGAACCAAGAGAGAACACAAACCTTCTGGCGTGCGATAAATCCCCCGCACCAACTCATCAGACTGCGATGAAAGACTTTCAAAGACCAAGGTCAGCTCAAATTAAGTCCAGGCGTGCGATAAATCCCCCGCACAAACCTTCTGGTGTTCCGTACCCCAAGTTCACTATCAACAGCCACTACTTGATCAAAAAACAAGTTCCAAGCTGTCTCTCTCATCTCACCTTGGACGCCCTTCCCCCTTGGAATCCATGACACCAATCATCTGCGCAGTGAGCAGTGCACAGACCGCTTGCAGAAAGAGAAGGATCTGTTTTTTCTGCACCTTCTTCCCATTTGCTTGAGCACACAGAACCACCAATACATAATCAAAACCCTCGAGGAGTGCGATGAATTGTCTACCCTTGAAGGCAGACAAGGGAGGACAACAAACTGCACATTTCAAAATGCTCAGAGAGACAACAGCCAGTTGCCAGTCTTGAGCGGTCACCATTCCACCAGCCAGGACTGTCAGGTCGCTGTACTCGGCTTTTCGGGTCAGACTACCAAATACGAGGGCCAGAGATCAAAACAAGCCTTCGCCAAATTGAAGCGCGATGAATAACACTCGTCAATTCAAAAAGCTCTGATGATATTTACAAGCCCATAACTCTCCTCGTCCGCACGGAACCCTTTCCATTCGGACGAGGGAGCAACGATCTCTCTCTCTCTCTCTCTCGCACACATACACACTCTGAAACCCACCTAACTCAAATCCTGCTACCTACTGTTCATCACTCCTACTCCCTTTCAGGACACCTAAAGTCTTTGTAAGTGACAATGCTGCTGTGCGGCTAGTAAGGTCGATAACCAACTGAGCCATTCTCCTCACCTCGTTTCCGTTCAACCTGCACAGGACCAGGCAACAGAAATCAATTAAAAGTCAGAACATTCAATGAAAAGGAAAAATATCAAAATTATCAAAATTAACTCTCCAAAGCACAAAACAGTTCCCCAGCAACAATGCCCTTGCGGCGCTTGTAGCACCCACGACTTGTCCTGATTTTACCAGCTATGCCCCAGTCCTGATTTTACCAGCTATGCCCCAGACCTCCAAGAAATTACATGCACTGAAGAGCAATAAGATCACTTGTTACAAGAAAAAGAAATGAGCGAGCACCTACCTTCAGCCGCCTTCCTCCAATCGTTACACCATTCAATTGTTGAATAGCCTTTTCAGCTGAAGCAGCATTATCAAAACTCACAAACCTGCATTCACAATCACAGCATGTTGACAAAATTACATAAAGCCAGATGAGTTGATGTAGGTGAATTCTTGATGTCGTGTGTATTGTGTGCATGCCTATGTGCATGTTTGTGTGCTGACATGTTCCGTACACACAATTCCACAGAAAGAGCACGCCTGTGACAGATTTGCGTGCCTGTGACTTTCAAAGACTCCAAGAAAAAATCAATGGGAGTATCCTGTGCATGCCTGGTGACGTCCGCTTGTGTATGTTGTCACCTTTACTACAAACAACTCCACAAAAAAGGATCTGCTGTGACAGTGTGTTGTCCCGTTCACCATACACACCTCCACAGAAAAAGCTCATCAGGAGGATGAACTCTGCATAAAGTGTGCATGTGTGCATATATTGTTCTACACAGACGAGTAGGTCCAAAACGACAGCAACTTTAAGATGAGCCAATCCGCGATTATACAAGCAAAGCGACACACTTGAGATGAGCCAACCGGACAATTAAGAGCAATATAAAACACAATAGATCCATTATATCCTTTTCATGATTATGTTCACCTCAGCTAGGCGTCCCATCTTATTTGTTCTTGCAACTCGCCTCTTACTGTGCTTCTCCAATACAAGACTGGCCATGTTGATGACGGTTGAGTGCCAGCTGTGCCTCAATGGCACACTTGCACGGTATGAAAGGAGGCAGACTAAAGTGGGAGAATACTCCTGTTCATTTTTCTTCAGGTCTTCAGCTCATGTTTTGTTTGTTCTCTTAATGATGCTCATTCCCGTGTATTTTCTAATACATGGGGAGGGAGGAATGAAAGAGAAAAAGTGAAAGGGAAG